ATCCTGGAAGATGGGACAGAGGAAAAGCAAGTCCTCTGGTTCCATGGGGACAGGATTCCTGGAAAAAATAGGAGAACTGAATAGGTTACCAGATATACCACCAGAAAGGACAAATGATAAAATACTGGGATATTTTGTCCAGAAGAAAGGGTAAATCAAAAGAAACAATGATTCACTGTTGTATTGAGGCATGGGGAGGGAAGCCCCTTACAAACCCACACGCATTTTGGCCTCTGTTCGGGTCATCTGAGGGTTGGATGTGTCGGCAATTGAATACATGGGTGGGCAATAAAAATCCAGCAGTTAGCCCCGAGGAAAGTGAATATGCTGAGTTGTGGATTCCCGAACCAGATGAAAAAGCATCATTGTTTGCATTAAGAGAGAAAAAGACAGGTAAACCTCACTCAGACAAAGAGGATCCCTTCTGGCCCCCTCCGGTTGCCCCCCAAGTCCCCCCCCCACAGTATTCTTCCCGAAATTCAGAGACATCCCAGGCTCGGGAGTCAGACTCAGATTCTGATTCTCTGATGCCGACAGCTCCCCCTCCACGGACTACCCGGAGCATGGCAAAGCAGGGGGAGGGGAAACTGTTTCCACTTAGGGAGATGTTGGTGTCTGGGGGAGATGGGCAAGGAGGGCCAGGGACAGGATATGTGGCAGTTCCTTTAAACACTGGGGATGTCAGGGAGTTTAAGAAAGAAATGGGAAATTTACTTGATGATCCCATAGGGGTGGAGAAAGGTTGGACCAGTTTCTGGGACCAAATTTATATACCTGGGACGAATTACAATCCATCTTAAGTATATTGTTTACAGTAGAAGAAAGAGACATGATTAGAAAGGCGGGGATGAAACTCTGGGACCAGCAACACCAGGCAGGACCGGCGGCAGATCAAAAGTGGCCTTTACATAGACCTAATTGGAATAATCAAGACCCAATCCACAGGGGCCACATGGCAGATTGAAGAACAATTATAATCCAAGGGGTCCGAGATTCAGTTCCAAAAGGACAAAATATTAATAAAGCTTTCATGGAGCACCAAAAAAAGGACGAGACCCCAACAGAATGGCTTGAGAGGTTGAGAAAAAGTTTCCAGTTATATTCAGGGGTAGATCCCGCTACACCCGTGGGCCAGGCTTTACTGAAAACTCAGTTTGTGGCAAAGTCCTCGGTGGATATAAGGAAGAAACTGGAGAAGGTGGAAGATTGGCAGGAAAAGGGTTTGGATGAATTGCTGAGAGGGGCTCAGAAAGTGTATGTAAGACGAGAGGTAGAGAGTGAGAAAAGGCAGACTAGGCTTTTGGTGACAGCTGTACAGGCAGGACAGAAAGAGGGAGTGAGGAGCGTTGAGAAACCAGGAAAAGAACGGGTGGAAAGGCAGGCGGTGGAATGTTACTACTGTGGAAAGAAAGGACATATAAAGAGGGAATGTAGGAAACGGATTAAAGATGAGAAGGAATTTAAGGAGGACTGGGGGAGTCAGGGGTTCTATACGCTGGGGACTCCAGGTAAAAAAGAGCCCTTGATACCTTTAAAAGTGGGTCCC